CTGCCGCCTCTGTTCCCCGTCAAGGTCATTGGTGATTACACCACGTTCCTCAGTTGATGAGAAGTCAGGGAGCGGCCATGGGGTCCGCAAGGCGCGAGTAGGGCTCGTATCACGCTGCTGGTGCAACTCGCATTCCTCGTCATCACACGCGGGAAAAGAGGTGTCAGACTCATGGTCAACTAAATCCTCAACGAGACCACTCGGCACTGAGAGCGTGCGCGGAGCGCGACGTTTGTGCTCATCGAGTCTAGGATATACATCCCCCGGTGCCGCGGACGCACTGTCCGACGGGAGTCGAAGTTGGGCTCTGCCCGTGCTCGCTGTCAGAACCAGCGAGAATCGATGGTTTCGTGTCGTGGACACAGGGCTCATGGAGCAAAGAAGTTGTTAAACTCTAACAAATTGAGTTGCAGTGTCTTACGGGCACGCGAGCCTCGTTGATGCAATATTTAATTGGTACTGTAAATGTTTTCAATCTTAATGGGGGAGGGTGTAACTAGGTTACATGAACCCTAATATCAGGGGTGTGTGTGTCACACGAGATGTGCATAATGTGACCACACACCCAAACAAGAATACAGTACGGGGTTAGGTAGCCAGTAGTTATGCATGTATTTAAATTTCACTACATATATTTAGTATATTTAGGAAAATCCAAACTCTTAAAATCGAAACTGATTTTGAACAGAAGTGTTCGTTCGCCTTGGTAAAGGCTTTTAAGGATTTTAGAGGCAGCGGATTGCGATCCGCTGCACTAGTACTTTGTTCTTGTAAAGAGCGAAAGGTCGGTGACCTAACGACGCTTCCTCAAGCGCAAAGCTACGGCAGTCCGCTGCACATTGGCTTACTGAGTGTGTCTAGCTGTCTCGCAAATTTATACTTAACCTACTCGTGTTCCATCATAATCCGTTACTTCACAATTAACTACAAGTGCTATCAAGTGCAACGGGCTGCGTTGCGCCTTATACAGATGAAATAAAAACTTAACGAGTTTGCGCTAACAATGTACAGAGGTTGGTTTCATAAGCGCTTTTGCGAGCAAACCGATGGTCCGCACTGCCTTCATGGGTAATGGATCCAAAGTTAAGCTGAATTAATACTTTTCTTCAGTTTAAGGAGTTAATATTCTGAACTTGTGTCTGTTACAACTCACGTTTTGATTGGTCAAACGCCTCGATCGGTAATTATAACGAGAAATGCATGCCGCCGGGAAGGACCCGCTCACTTGGGTTGTGACTAGCGTTATTTTATGTGCAATCAATCAATAAGCTCACGAAAATGGTTCACTTCCCTTAGAGCTTTGTAAAGCTGTTTGGTGTCCAGATACGCTGCGACTTGCACGAATTTGAGGGGATGCCCGCCAGCCACGCATGGCGGTGGAAGAGCAAGGGAATTTGGCGCACACGTCTACAGACCAAAGCTCAGTGTTGCGGTGTTGTCACATCCATATTAATGCGATCCGATCGAGGTATTGCTTTCGCATATTCATTGAGATGAAAACGATTTTTACGCACATGAGTGGGCAGCGGAATTGTTGGTAGACGACGGTACGGCGCCTGTCAAGGCAGTATTGTGGGGAGAGGGCATCCACATTGAAGTGGCACTTGGTGACCTTATACGCATTGAAGGAAAACTGAACATGGATAAGAACTGGGACGCAGCTGAATTGTTTGTGTGGCAAATGATGGAGTGCCTGATGTGAAATCACTCACGTCGTGCTGCGTTGCGTTTCTCAGATCCCGGGAGCTCCGTATTCTTCGGATATATAAGCTGAGAGACCCCGATGAGGAACTTTTGCATTGGGCTCAGGCGATGGAACTTGAGCAGGCGTACTACTCTGCTGAAGACAATTACTTCAAGATTCCTGCTGAAGCCAATCAAAACGCCCGTTCTAAAACCCAATGGGAGGCTATTGCTGCTGAAGCATTTTTTAGTCTCAGCGTCGATCCTGGCAAAAAGCAACAATTTCTAGAACAGCGCGATTGTGATCTTCACGATGATACACTATTAGAAATTCTTGATGTAATTTTGCACCAACAGAAAACATGCGGCGCCGTCGAAGCTACCAAATTACGCTTTAGTGACCTCCTTTTTGTAAGTTGTTGGAATGTATTTATGCTTCGATGTGGCTAATACTGTTTCACTTCAATGTACCACTATTGGTTGGCAGACAAATGGCGAAGCTGCATTAGTTAATAAAAACAGTAGAATTCGAGCATTACAACATGTTTTTCGTAAGCTACGACGCGCTGGTCTACTATTTTTGGAGGACAATAGAGCCGATCAGTACATTTTGCTGAGTTTTGAGTTTGTTCTGAAGCCAGCACTTTTGGAGTTACTGCGAGGTGTGATGCGAAAAATCATATGTGAGCAGTCTGTCGCCTTATCATTTTGTCTATGTTTAGGTCACCCCCTGGGTCGTTCAATTCCTGAAATCGCAGCCGCGATTTGGCATCAGGAACGATTCAAATGTATTCCACTGGAATGGATTGAGACTAGCATCGAGGTCCTTGTTGCATCTCAAATGATTATTCAGGGAGAAGATTTCCAATTATATTTTGTGAAGTAAGATGGAGACTAAGTATGCCTAGACAAAAAACGAACCACATCGGCATTTGTTGTGTCGCTGATGACTCAAGCAATGGGTCACCTATGGTGTGAGGCTTCAAAGGTGACACTGTTTGCAGGTCTCCACTAGAATCGTCTTTTTATTCTCGTCACCAATATAAAAGCTTTGGTCTGATTTTTATTGAGTTAGACGACTTGTAGGGAAAATGGTGCCAAATCTCGATCATGACCTCGATGTCATTTAGTGAAGAGCAACAACTTTTTTAGTCTTGAAAACGCTTATCTTTCTGCGGCAGCACCTATCGTAGTACACTTGTCCGTCGAGAACGAAGATTTCGGTGTTACTTAAGTCACCGATTACTTTAGGTCAGACTAAATTTGATGAGGATGGCCAATTCTACAAAAAGCTTAGTGTCCAACCTTGCAGTCTAATTGCACAGAGAAAAAAGCTTCGTTCTGGATGAAACTTGGTCGTGGATAGAGCATGAAAGGTTGCATGCTGCTGAACCGTAGCTTGAAATCCGAAATTCTTTCGCTTTTTAGAGTGCTAAGAAAACTTTATCAACTCAGCAAGGATTTGTTTTGCAGGACACCCTCAAAAATTTTATATGCATATCAAACGCACACATCTTGAGTAAGCCGCATTTTTTCACTCAAATAGAGAAACTGAAGTTCGACGGCTCCTTTGCAATAAAAATATATGTAACTTGTGTGAGTAAACTAGCGTAGAGCTGACCTCTGACTTTTAACCAAATATTTCGTTTACTCGTGTTAATTTGAAACTGTTACAGCAAGCGTATTCTTTGCGCGATTACCTATGCAGCTGGCAACGGGCAAGAGCATTGCAGACAAAATGACCGTGCTAACTTTTAAATGTTAATTTTTGCAACTAGCGAAAGGATTAGATTTTGTCCAGATTACCATTTCCGTTGCAGGAACGAAAACATTTTCTGGAACGAAGCGGATTACCTCGAACAACTGGAGACAATAACAATCGCATTGTGTGCCTGAGCTAATGAACTCGCCATCGATGAAAAGCGGGGCTATTCCTGTCGGTCATGTACGTAACCTGGTGATCTTCTGCTTTTTGTGTCACTCATTGCATTGACTTATCAGATGACGACAAAAAGTCGAGGGAGAACTCGCATTAGCTTTTGGTGGCAAATCACGCGGTTTATAAGCAGCATTCTTTAACGAGGTGAATGTCGAGGTAGATTACGTCTTACAAAAGTTATACGTCTCTTACACCCTTAACACATAGCTTATTGGACTTAACCCTATAGCAAAGTTACGGTCGAATTTTAATTCGTTGCGCGACGCCACTGATTACGTATTTCTTTGTATCAATAATCGTTTTTATGATGTCGAATAAACTGATAAAATTTGCTATTAAGTTAGTTTGTTACTTGTAATTAAGAGTTTGGTTGGTCACGCAGATTTGGATCCTGGAAACATGGCGGTCTCGAGCCCTCGCGACATATCGCTGGAGAAGAAAAAGGAGTGGGAGGCGTCTTCGGATTTTGCAAATTATTTTTGCACTTATGCTTACATCTACCACCAAAAGCAAATGTTGACGGATGAACTCCGCATGCAGAGCTATCGCGATGCTATCTTCGAAAACCCAAACCACTTCAAGGACAAGATTGTTCTTGACGTGGGCACTGGTAGCGGTATCCTTTCTATCTGGGCAGCTCAAGCAGGCGCGCGTAAGGTTTACGCTGTGGAAGCCACAGACATTGCTCAGCAGGCTCGCAAAGTTATAAAAGCGAACGGCCAAGACCACATCATTACGGTCATTCAATCAAAAATGGAGGACGTGGCGTTACCTGAAAAAGTAGACGTCATCATCTCAGAGTGGATGGGCTACTTTCTGTTGCGTGAGTCCATGTTCGATTCGGTCATCGTGGCGCGTGACCGCTGGCTAAAGTCTAATGGCGCAATGTTCCCGTCTCACGCCAGCATGTTTATCGCCCCCATGTGCAACGAAGACAACAGCAATAAGCGTTTCAACGAGTTTTCTTCGGCGATGGATGGATGGCGGAATTTTGTGGATAACACCAAGATCATGTGGGGTGTTGACATGAGCGTTCTAGGCAACGATTTCCGCAAAGAGCAAGAACAATACTCTTTGCGCACATCTTCTTGGGAAGAGCTTAATGCTGGGGATCTGATTGGAGACGAAGTTGAGTTTGCCAAATGGGATCTCAAAGCGTGTACACTTGACGACATTAAAGAGGTAAAAGCGACTTTTTCCATGTCAATCACCATCATGTCGCGCTTTGGCGGCATTGCTGGCTGGTTTGATGTTGAGTTTAAAGGCTGTGCAGAGAATCCGGCTGAAAGGGAGGTGACGCTTACTACGTCTCCTTTTGTGCAGCCAACGCACTGGGGTCAGCAAATCTTTCCTTTATATCCGCCCATGCAGGTTTGCGAAGGCGATACGATAGCCGGTGACATTATCGTAAAGCGCCGTACCGACAACCAGCGTCTTATGAATGTCCAATTTGATTTTCGAATTTGTCGGTCTGAGGACAACAATCAGGGCCCACTCATCTCGGCGGGGTTTCAGATCGAGTAAGCAACATTAATATACAAGTCTCACCTTTTAGAACCAGATCTGTTTTGTAAGTGAGGCTATTCACTCGAATAGCTGCCTGCGGTGACTTTTTTTGCTAATGGCGCTTGAGCCTGTGAAGACGCGCCGTGGTCTGACAGTCTGCTGGTTACTTCTGGTTGGCTAGACGCCACATGAAAAATACGTAGGCATTTTGTCGTCTCATTAATTTTGCGAAGTGTACGACTCAAGCAACAATCCTTGCAGCACTGTGCATCATTCAAAACTTACCTCATTTGGCTAAACTATACAGTTTCGGCAGATTTTAGCGATAGAATGGTCGTAGGTGGCTCTGTAACGTCTCGCCGAGAAAATTGTAGTATAGGCGCGCACCTTCGTAAATTTGAGTCTAGACACGTATGACCTAACTTACTCTTCGGTTGCTTTTATGTCGAATTGCAAAAAAAGCATCGGGCAAGGCACGAGCGACGATCAAACATCCAGGCAACAACAATTGCTATAGCGTCGCTTGCCTAATGGTGCAACTTCAGCATGAGCAGTCGTAGCTGGTGCTGGTGCAGTTGCACTTGCACTTGTTTTGTTTTATTGAGTGTTACCGCTTCTTGTTTTGCCTTCAAACGATCAAAGATTCTTCTTTATACAGGTTTTTCCCGACTTCCTTGTTACTTGCTCAGCAGTGTCTATTTATTACATATATTGGATACTGCATACTCCTATAAACTCTGGCTTGTGTTGGAAGGTTTACTGAAGTTGCCGTGCACCTTGCAGAGAAATCTTTTGTACTCTCAGAGTTTGCGTTAACCAACGCACAGCGGATGGCCTCACTCAACTGACCCTAGGGTGCAGGATCGAGAGTGTAACAGGGTAAATACACCAATCCTGTGTTTTACCCTTACGTATTGAGTACAGTTGTACGAATCTCACATTTCACTTGATGTCGTTGGTAAAACATACCAAAGTCTCGGTATTTATATCGACGCTCAACACCAGCGGTTTGGGAGCCATCTGATCCTCCACGGCGCCCGGCCGGGGCGCTCCTGGACTTGCCTCACTA